CAATTAGCATGAAAACACTTAATATGAAACCTAAACACAAAAAAATAAAAACAATCACTCCCTATAAAATAAAACAAGAACAAGAAGATAAAGCTCTTTGTATAAAACTTTCTATAACTTCTTAGGTACTTTTATTTTATTTTCTTAACTTTAAAACAGTAATAAAAAATAAAAAATGTCGGTTGACAAAAAATTGATCACTGGAAAACAAATAACACCATAAATGTCACTATAGTGCTAGATAAATTTCAAGGTCAGAGATGCTTTCAAAGCCATAATTGTATAAACTTAATAAAAATATAAATTGCAGAAGTTTACGTTATATATTTCAAGTTCATCGTTAACATTTAGTTGAAATAGAAAAAGTTTTTCTTTTTGATAGCATAAACTAGGAAAAAAGCCTTTTAACGATAGTTCAAGGACACACTTGGTAAACAACCTTGAATAAATCCATATCTAGTTAAAAGCTTGTTTGTTTATATGTCTTTCTTTTGTTATTTTTTAAATCTATTTTCCAACAGTGAATCCAGCCTGTAAAAGTTTTCAAGGTCAAGCATATCACATTTTAGATAAGGTAAATCAAGGACACAACTATGAAATGACAGTGTCAAGGTCAAACCTCATTATATGCTTTATTTTAAATAATCGTCAAAAAAGTAGAAACAATAAAACCAGTTTTGTAACATTTCCAAGGTCAAATCTATCCCAAGGTCACATCATTTATTTGAGGAGTTAAATTTTGTGCCATTAATTCAACTAATAATGTTCGTAATGAAAGGTTGTTCCAACTCTTTACGAATTTCAAGGTCAAGTTTTATGATAGTGGTAGTGATAAAAACATTTGAGTGAATTAGTCTTGTGGTGGAAAGCCCCTTTTTGTGTGTAAACTTTGCAAAGTCGGTGTGAAGACCTTGTCTGAGCCTTCTGGTGGTTCCTTCTTCCCTCCCTTGGGCAAATTAGCGATTTTTAAGTCGAATTAGCGTCTCTTTGTTCTCGCAATGAATGAAAATTAGTGTTGTAGAGTTGAATTCTCGTGTTGTGAGCCGGTCCTGTATCAACAACAATCAATTGAACCCATTACTTTGTCCCAATAAACGCATTATTCACTTCAGTCATAAATATATGATTGATGATTAGAAAATTGTGATGACGTCACGTCCGGTAGCGTCCATGATTGTTCGAAAGTCGTCATTCGTTGTGATAATCTCACAGATTTTGAATAGGATTTAATTAGTTTCGATGTTTTCGTTTATCATCGACGCATCATGGATGGAATCTTCTAAGCGAAGATCGCGTTAAAGTACGTATAAGAACAATAAATCTGCAGTATTGTAAGATTCATCAGAGCATAAGTAAGCCAGTAATAGCTAGAAAGGGTAAAACGTTAAACATTCGGAAACGTTTAAGCGACAAGAGAAGTTAATTCAGCCGGAATTCTTACATTACGTTACTAAATTAAATTATATCCCGATGTGATGCACGAGGCAAAAGCGTACTGTATTTACGCGGCGAACAGATTTCTCGCACCAGAACCATCTTTTATCATTTTGTTAAGTTTAGCGGTGGCAAAAGACAAATTGCATTACGGGAGAAAATTGCATAGGAGAAGGGAGGGTATTGATTTAGAGAGGATGCTGCAAACACGATCAACTTCATAACATGACGATTTCACGTCATTTTCTTACTCCAATCCTGACAATTTTTCGAAAAATTGCACACCAAAAATTTTCACTCATTTTTTCATTGTCAAAAATTTGACAATTTTGAATTTCGTCAAGGTTCTTGACAATTTTTACAAATCTAATCAATAGTGATAAACAACACAACAAAGTACGTGCACTATGATTAGACCGGATTCTCTTCATACGTAGAACAATCACAAATTTGACAATTTTTGAAAAAAAATTTCGTAAGTTATACAAAAACAAAGTGAGATTTTTGGGTCTCACGCTTGAAAACCAAATTTTTAATTCCTATAAGATTTTAAATTTTGACCCATTTTTTTTATTCCTTAAAAATTTGACAATTTTGAATCCACTGACAAGATTCTTGACAATTTTTACAAATCTAGTCGACAATAATAAACAGCACAAGTACGGGCACTAAAATTATACAATTTTTTTCATACGTAGGACAAAATCGCAAATTTAACAATTTTTGAGAAAGTTTTTCGTGGGTTATACAAAAACTGAAATTAAGATTTTTGAGTTTCACGCTTGAACACAATGTGTAAATCAAATTTTTAGTTACAGGATTTTAAGTCAGCAAAAATTTGACAATTTTTGAAAAAAATCTTATCTTACTAGCTTATTGTTAATAAACGTCAATTTCTAGAGAGGAAATTGTACATTGGATATTTTAAACAAAATTGACATTTTTTAAAACAATTTGACAATTTTGAAAACAGAGCTTTATCACATTTAATATTCATTTCATACTTTTGTATTAATTCTTGTTCAGCAGTTTGCTAAGCAAATAACAGAGTTTCCTAACATTTTTTGTAATTTTTCTAACATTTCAAACAATCATGTTTGACAGTTTTGTAACAAAAGAACAATAAAATTTACCTACTCTTGCGACAAATCACTGAGAAAATGGAACACATGAAACTACTTTATTAACTGATAAAGCCAATATGACAGACCTTTTCAATCGATTTGAACGATTTTTTAAACAAAATCTATCAAAACCTTTACCCAAAAAAAGTTGACAATTATTGACAATTTTTTCGAATTATAGAGCTCATCAAAAGTAGACTAAACAATTCATAAATTTTAAAAAATAAAATTTTATGACAATACTTCTAAGAGTTTTTAGAATCAATAAAAGCGATGCATTGAGTGTTATGATTTGACATTTTTAAAAACGATTTGACATTTTTAAAAACGATTTGACAATTTTAAATCAAAATTTGACAACTAACTTATCAATTTTGCCCTGAAATCTTTAACGCAAAGCTAGAGTATGTAATATACTGTCAAATCACTGATACTTGACACTTAACTAGTACCATATAATACACTTTTCACTTTAAAAACATCATCATTTTTCAAAAGTTTCATAAAATGTAAAAAACATTGACATTTTAATAATTTGACAATTTTGAAAACAGAGCTTTATCACAATTAATATTTATTTCATTCTTTTGTATTAAGTCTTGTTCAGCAGTTTGCTAAGCAAATACCAGTTTCCTAACATTATTTATAAAAAATTTTAACATTTCAAACAATCATGTTTGACAGTTTTGTATTAAAAGAACAATTTATAAAATATACCTACCTAATCTTGATAATTTTGAAAAACTTACTTTCATGTTGTTTAAACAAAAAAACTATATAAAATAATAAAAAACCTAAGTTTTTAACAAAACTAAATTCAATTTGTTTATAATTAATCATTGTTTGTCGAAAAAAGATTAAAGAAACAAACTGGAGCAATAAGTATCAAAGGCGTTTATTGCTATTTTTTAATTTATTTTTTTAAGTTATCGATAAAATTGTTATTGTTTCGCTCTCACCAACGTATCAAATATCTTTTGAAACATGTAGTGAAATCAAAAACGTCTCGCAACCAATCCATATCATTTACAGTTTTTAAGAATTTCTCAATGGAAACAATCAAGGGTTGAAATCTAATCGCTGCGCCATCTCTGGGCCATATCGCACATTCGAGCGTAGAGATCACAATTGGTTCGCGATAAGATAATAGTTATTTGTATTAGTTTGTAGTAAATAGCGCGTTTTTGATTGGTTTTGATTCAACAGTGTGTAAAATCCGACCTACCCCAATCGGAAAAAAGTTCCTTTCAATAGCACGTCTCCGGGAAATCCGGTGTCTTCCGATAAAATGGGGTGAAGTGAACCGATATAGACATTTCACGGGGGTGTTTTTTATCCTCTTTCATTCAGTGATCGGTAAGTGATCGAGAATTGGGGTAGAAGTCGGGATTCCCTCGTAAAGCGAGACGAGAGGGAAAAAATAATACTCTCTCGCACTTTTCACCCAGTTTTTTCGACCCGATTAGCATCCGTCTCGTAGGTTGAAAATTGACTTAACAGTTTCATCTATTGATGGAATGATTTAATCAATTTATTAAATCAAGCTCTTCATTGAATCACTTTAGGTCACTTATCGGACAGGCTTTGTCATGAAAATAATCAAACAATGGAGAGGGAAATGATTTCAGGTTGCGAAAAAGCGAATTTCACATTTTTTTCGCTCTCGTGAGGTTCTGGTATTGTCAACGATGAAAGTTTGCAACGAGACACGTAATCGTGGGACGGCGATTTTTAACTCTTGCGACAAATCACTGAGAAAATGGAACACATGAAACTACATTATTAACCAATAAACCCAATATGACACGATTTTTCAAACAAAATCAATCAAAATCCTCTCCCAAAAAAGTTGACAATTATTGTTCATTGCTCATGAATTTTAAAAAATACAACTTTAGACAATACTTTTAAGAGTTTTACGAATCAATAAAAGCGATTCATTGAGTGGTATGATTTGACATTTTTAAAAACGATTTGACAATTTTGAATCAAAATTTGACAACCACCTTATCAATTTTGCCCTAAAATCTTTAACGCAAAGCTAGAGTAATACTGTCAAATGACTTGACACTTAATTCTTGTCACACTTGTAATAATACACTTTTGTCACTTTAAAAATATGATCATTTTTCAAATGTTTCACAAAATGTAAAAAAGAAATTATCAAAGCAAATTTTTGACAAGGTTTTTGACACTTTATGAGATAAGCTATAAATGTAAAAATGTACCTTCTATAAATTTATATAAATTATTTCTAATACAGATTTGTTTTAAATTAATCATACATCAATCTATTTAATAATAAAAATTGTGTTGGATTTTGACAATACATATTTTTAACAACTTAATGAGTTTGAAACAATTTTGTTAGTTTATTAATTAAAAAGATATATTGATAGTATTTTAATAAAAATTTGTTCAGACTGACTTTTGGTTAGGTAACTTTAAAATYTTGTTACTTTTTTTTATCTCCTATTAAACATTTAAAAAAGTTGTCAAAAAAATCAAAAATTGTTAAAAAAGTCACCAGTTTGACATAGAATTTGACAAAGACCCAATGTAGTAGGTTTTAAAGTGACCAAAACTCACTTTATTATTTAAAAATGTTATTATTTAAAAAGATATATTGATAGTATTTTAATAAAAATTTGTTCAGACTGACTTTTGGTTAGGTAACTTTAAAATNTTATTATTTAAAAATGTTATTATTTAAAAAGATATATTGATAGTATTTTAATAAAAATTTGTTCAGACTGACTTTTGGTTAGGTAACTTTAAAATATTGTTACTTTTTTATCTCATATTAAAGATTTAAGAAAGTTGTCAAAAAAATCAAGAATTGTGAAAAAAAGTCACCAGTTTGACATAGAATTTGACAAAGTCCCAATGTAGTTTCTTTAAAATGTTGTTACTTTTTTTATCTCCTATTAAAGATTTAAAAAAGTTGTCAAAAAAATCAAGAATAGTTAAAAAAAGTCATTAGTTTAACATAGAATTTGACACAGTCCCAATGTAGTTTTCGGTTTTAAAGTGACCAAAACTCACTTTACATTTCTTTATTAGGCTCTTACCTTGACATAAAATTTCTAACAATATTTGCAACTTTTGTTTTAGAAAAAATAAACAATTTCTAATTTATCAACAAAACTTGATAAACTGAAAACAAGTGATTCCGTTTGTGTTAAATAACAATTTTGCATTTGTGTATTGCCAAAGTTTCGCTCATTTAACGCAACACTCCTCAGATCTGTCTACTTGCTCCCCGCTCCTAAACCATTTAATTATCTCTTAAACGCCGCTTAAACCATGTCTCTCGTCGTGTAGGTCAACAAATCCAAAGGTAATTAAATTTATATTGTGCGGTTTGATGCAACTCAACTATCGCTCAAATCTGGCGAAGTTGGCGGTTGTCGTCACCTGTAGATCCCCGAAAATTTCCTTCCATTGTTACCAATCATAAAAACTTGATCCAAAAAGGGGAGATTTGAGTTTCTCATATATGCCGATTTAATATTTGAGATAATCTAGCCGATGCGCCCGTTTTTGTAGGATTTATACCTCAATGACTAATTTCACCCCTTTTGAGTTTTTATTTTTTGTGCGGGTTTAAGGGTCGACGGCTCGGATTTATTGAACGCGGGAGATGCGACACGGTTTTATTATTTTTTCTTCGTTTCCCGTGTCAAGCGCGAATTAATTGGCGAATTAAATTTTTTATTTAGGTATCTGAAGATGAAACATCGAAACGTCGGATTTATATTTAGAGTGCGAGGCTTGTAAACTTGACGTGAATTCGTAATACAAACGCGAAGTAATTGATATCGATTTAGCAAAACGGTTATTGTCAAAAATTTCTCTCTCTGCTGGTTACAAATTAAGCCAAATTCTAATTTTCCAAGAATTTTGGAACGTTTATAACACGCTTGACAAAATTTGATAAATTATGGATGATTATTAAATTGCTTCAAATAACTCCGAATTTTTTTATTTTTCAATTGGCTTATTTAAATCAAATTTGCTCAAAAATAGCCCGAGTCAAGGCACAAGACTTTTACGAGAATTTTTCGACACCCAACCTGTCAATAAACCCTATTTATTGATCTTCAATTAGGATTAAGAATTATAATTTGACATTTATAACTTAATCCAATAAATTCAAATTTCGGGTAATTAAATGAAATTTGTCTCAATTTCGATACAAATCTTATCTTTTGTACCTATTTGTTCAGTTATAAAGAATAGTCAATAGATTCGTTACGCACCACTATACCGAGTGTCCCACTTAAAAAAACGCAATTAAAAAATAAATCACTGACAAGCGTAAAACAGCAATTGTTGCAGCCAATTAGAAATATAACAGTAATTAGGTAAATTAGTAATTAAATCCGAATTTTGACGATTTGTAAACAAAAATGTACGGCAGACTTGGACCTGTCGTCGCGGCCGTTGAAGTCTCATAAATTCTGTTTTTTTTATTCTATTTTCAATTTTTGGTTTAATTTAACTTGACAGTTCACAAAATTTCTGTGTTTTGACAATGTTTTCGTCTAGAAGCACACTTCACTTTATATGACTTTTACACCACAATTGTTAAAAGTATAAAAATCCGGCCTTGAGTAACAAAACATTTCACTTCAAGTTGTCAAAATTGTAAGCTTTTTTGTTAGTTGTTTGGCAATGACGAATTAACACTTTGTCAAAATTTTCGGACGGTTTCACTACCGGTTCGAGTCAATTGTGAAATTTTGACTATTTATGTAATGACATTTTGAGAATGAGATTTTGCAAAGTTGAGTATTTTACACTTTTGTAGCGCAATTGTCAAAACTATAAAAATCCGGCCTTGATTGACAAAACATATTTCGTCAAAATTTTACTTCAAATTGTCAAAAATTTAAGCTAGTTTTTTGTTAGTTGTTTGGCAATGACGAATTAACACTTGTCAATTGTAAATTTTGACTATTTATTTAATGACATTTTGAGAATTGAATTTTGCGAAGTTGATTTCTGGCGCACTTTGCACTTTTGCATCGCAATTGTCAAAACTATTAAAATCCGGCCTTGATTAGAAAAACATATGTCGTCAAAATCTTACTTCAAATTGTCAAAAATTTAAGCTAGTTTTTTGTCAGTTGTTTGGCTTTGACGAATTAACACTTTGTCAAAATTTTCGGACGGTATCACTGCCTGTTCGAGTAAAATTGTTAAATTTTGACTATTTATTTAATGACATTTTGAGAATAGGATTTTGCAAAGTTGAGTTTTTCACGCGCTTTAATCTTTTGCACCGCAATTGTCAAAACTATAAAAATCCGGCCTTGACTAACAAAACATATTTTGTCAAAATTTTACTTGAAATTGTCAAAAACAAATAATTTGTCAGTTGTTTGACGAATTAACACTTTGTCAAAATTCCACTGCCGGTTCGAGCCAAATTGTCAAATTTTGACTATTTATTTTGTGAAATTTCGCAAAGTTGAGTTTTTGGCGCGCTTTGCACTTTTGGTGATTTTTTAGTATAGTGTTAAAAAATGCAGATATGAGTAGGAGATTCGAAAAGTGTGCCGGTTGTGGTTGTGGTCGGACTGACCTGCTGCCAGAACTGCACAAGTAGATAGAATCGTTCCTTCTTGAATAGCCAGTCCATGGATTGCACGGTCTGGAGGTCCATGTCCGCGTTGGGCGGAATGGAAGCCGTGGCCGAAGGCTGCATGCGGATTCGGTCCTCTAGTTCAGCCACGGCTGGTGTTTCAGCTAAGAACGCCGTCTTGGCCTTGTCACTCCACTCCGCACATGATCATCACTCCGTCGTCGAAAATCTATCGGAAACGTCACTCACGCGAATTGTCACGCACTCCGTCACGTGTCACGTGTGCACGTCGGGATTGTTATCCCAACACTGAGTAAGGCATGCATGGTGCATCCGAGTAGGCCGCGACGCTATCCTTCTCGATCGTCTTCTGTTTCGCGCCACGCTCCGCCTCCCGTGTTGATTGTAGGCGCCCTCTGGCGGAGCGGTTTGTTTTAGCGGCGTCTCACTCCAGCCTTAACGATGCGATAGCGCGCTCTCGCTTCGCTCTATTGGAGATATAGAGGGACCAATGCTGGAGCACAAGTAAAAGGCAGATATATTCTTTTTAGTTAAAAATCGAAGTATAGTCTATGTGCGCATTTCGTACCCCTTCCACGCCTGGAAGGGTTTTTCTAGTGAGTGATGGGTTTGAGGGATGACAGGAGCGCATGTGCCGACGATCTCATGCCAAATAAGTCCCAAGAAGGCTTCTTACTACATCGCCGGACTTGAACAAAAATACAAAACCAACAAGGGTGAAAGTCACTTCGATTGATTTTTTTTTAATTCGATGAGTTTTAATAAGGAGTGATTATGGTGAAGGGGATTAGAGAGGTAAAATTTGATGAGGTTTTGAGTTTATTGGCCGGGATTTAATTGACTCAAGGATTTTTTCTTGTGATTGAATTATTTTTCGGAAAAGTGAAAAATTTCTTACTACAGGTACGTGAAATTTCATAAATGAAGATGTTGAGTAGAACAAAGTTAGATAAAGCCTGAGGTGGACTTGGCTTTGAAGACTAAAAGTTGGAAGGGATGGTGCATGCAGGAGGAAAAACGGAGCGTTGCAAAAAACAAACAAATCGAAATAAAACTACAGCATAGAAGAAGAAAACAATGATTTTATTGAAACAAAACTGCAATCAATCTCTTTGAAAGCTGTTGAAAATTAGAGAAAAGAAATAAATGTTTGTTGACCTCTTTGAAATAAACAGAATAAAATTATTAGTCTCTTTTTTTTGAATAAAATTTATAAAATAAATAAGCGAAATTTATATGAAAAATGTCAAAAATAATAAACAAAAAATGACAAAATTATATAAAATATTTGCATATAAGATAGTATGAGATTTAGAAGGAGGCGAAATAAATTCAAATATAAATTTTGACAAAATCTGATAGTGTAAGTTTTTATTAATTATATAAAATATTTGCAAATCGATAGTGAGAGATTTAAAAGGGGGCGAGCGGCAAAGCCGCGATCCCCCTTTATAAATTTTGACAATAGTTTCTCCCACTGTTTTTTGCAATACGATGTTTTTAAAAAGTCTCGATTAACATTTTTTTTTAATTTAAGCATTTCTTAAAAAAAAATTAATGTTTTTTTGCAAGTCTAGAAGTTTTTTAAGCCTGTATTCCTTGACATTTTCTTAATCTCCTCAACTGTCTTTTGTAACACAATATTTTGAAAAGTGTCGATTGACATTTTTTTAATTTAAGCACTTTTTTAAGAAATTTTTATTTTTTTTGCAAGTCTAGAAATTTTTAAGGCAATTTTTCTAGACACTTTCTTAGTTTCCCGCACTGTCTTTTGCAACACGATGTTTTAAAAAGTCTCGTCTGACACTTTACTAAATAAAAATTTGACCATATTGGCTAGTAATTTTTACCAAATTTTGAAGAAAATTGAAGATAGTTGGCGGAAATGAAGATTCGTTGACTATTTCCAATGAAATAGAATCTTTAATAATTTTTGAGCCGGTGCGCAACAATAACATTGTGACAGTCCCAGTTTCACAAGCTCGATCTTATGATTGAATTATTTTTCGGAAAAGTGAAAAATTTCTTAGTAGAGTAGGTTTGTGAAATTTCATAAATGAAGATGTTGAGTAGAACAAAGTTAGATGAAGCCTGAGGTGGTGAATAAGAGCAAACAGACAGGACCGGACTTGGCTTTAAAGACTAAAAGTTGGAAGGGATGGTGCCTCACATTAAAATTGCAGGAGGAAAAACGGAGCGTTGCAAAAAACAAACAAATCAAGATAAAACTACAGCATAGAAAAAGAAAACAATGATTTTTATTGAAACAAAACTGCAATAAGTCTCTTTGAAAGCTGTTGAAAATTAGAGAAAAGTAATAAATGTTTAAAATAAACAGAAACATTATTAGTCTATTTTTTGAATAAATAAATAGGTAAGCAAAATTTATATGAAATAAATTTTATGAATTTGTGAAAAATAATAAACA